ATTCACCTTGTCCCCAAGGTGAAAATCTGGGAAGTGCTCTTTCACCATCTGCAGCAATTCCCATGAATCTTCAAAGTTTGGTTGATTTTTCCAATGTATCAGAACCTCCACCTTGCCTTCTTGGTTCACCCGGGTGTCCCTCACTGCTTCAGGTATCACTTGAAGCTCCATATCTTCACTCAAACATTTTGGAAGTGCCTGAAAGTGAGTAGTCGGGGAAATCACTTTCTTCAGCAATGAAACATGAAATACCGGATGTATTTTACTGCCTTCTGGTAATTTCAGTCTGAAAGCTACACAGTTGATCTTCTCTGTTATTTCAAAGGGCCCATAATACCTTGGACTCAACTTTTGATTCACTCTTTTGGCCAAACTTTTAAGTTTATAGGGTTGGATTTTCAAATACACCTGATCACCCACTGCAAACTGTATATTCCTCCTGTGTTTGTCAGCCTGCTGTTTCATTAAGTTTTGAGCTCTCGCTAAGTTCCCCTTTAACTCTTCTAACATTGCATTTCTTTGAGCAGTCAGTCTGGACACTTCTTCTACAGCAGTCAGTGTTGCATCTCCCCTCACTATGGCAGGAGGATCCAGCCCAAATAAGGCCTTGTAAGGGGTCTGTTTCAATGATATGTGGTAGTTGGTGTTGTACCAGTATTCTGCCCAGTGAAGCCATTGACTCCAATGCTTCGGTTTCCTTCCTGTGAGGCACCTTAAATAGGTCTCCAAGCACCTGTTTACCACCTCGGTTTGCCCGTCTGTTTGGGGGTGGTAAGCAGTGCTATATTTAAGCTGAGTTCCTGCCAGCTTAAAAATTTCAGACCAAAATGAGCTCAAAAACACACTGTCTCTATCGCTGACAATGGTTTTAGGAAATCCATGCAGTTTAACCACTTCCTTAATGAAGATTTCTGCCACTTCTTTTGCATTGTAGGGATGAGCTAAAGCCATAAAATGAGCATATTTGGTGAATCTATCAACCACTACTAATATTGTGTCTTTTCCTTGGGATCTAGGTAACCCACCAATGAAATCCATGCTTATATCAGTCCAAATACCGTTGGGGATAGGTAGGGGCTGCAGTAAACCAGTTGGTTTGAGAGCTTGGTACTTGTTAGTCTGGCAGATAGAACATTCCTCCACATATCTCTTTATGTCACTTCTCATCCCATGCCAATAAAACAACCCTTCCACCCTCTTCATAGTTCTGAAATATCCGGAATGCCCCCCCATAGCCGAATCATGGTATTCTTTTAAAATTTTCAGAATTCTGGCAGATCCCTTTGGTAACACCAACCTCTTCTTGTAATATAGTAAGCCCTTAATGATCTGGAATTCCTTGTTGTGGTCTGGATATGAAATTACTTTCTGAATCAGTTCTTGACATTTAGGATCCTTGCTCAATTCTTCCTCCAGTCCATCCCATTCTTGACAGCTGATAATTGATAGTGATTGCAAGGCATACTTTCTAGATAAAGCATCTGCAGCCTTATTCTCCACTCCTGGTTTGTATTTTATGGTAAAATTGTAACCCAACAGTTTAGAGGTCCATCTTTGTTGTTCTTCTCCCATGAGCCTTTGTTCAGTAATAAACTTTAAACTTTTCTGATCTGTGTGGACTTCAAAGGGTCTGCCCAATAGATAGGGTCTCCACTTCTGAATAGCTAGTACAATTGCCATCAATTCCCTTTCATAGACTGACCTCTTCTGATTTCTAGGTGATAGCTCCTTGCTCATGTACGATACAGGCCTCCCTTCTTGCATCAAAACCGCCCCCAGTCCAGTACCTGAAGCATCGGTCTCAATAACAAACATCTTGTTGAAGTCAGGTGTGGCCAAAACAGGTAATGTTGTCATGATCTTCTTCAGTTCTTCAAATGCTTGTGCTGCTTTTAAATCCCAGTGAAAGTTATCTTTCTTCAAAAGATTTGTAAGAGGAAAAGCAATTTTGCTATATCCTTTTACAAATTTCCTGTAATAGCCAGTGAGCCCTAGAAATCCCCTCAACCCCTTTAAATCCTTAGGGGCAGGCCACTGTAGCATAGCTTCAATTTTGGCTGGATCAGCTGATACCCCTTGCCCTGAAATTATATGGCCCAAATATACCAACTCAGATTGCCCGAATGAACATTTCTTCAAATTAATCTTCAACTGATTCTCCTCCAATGCTGACAGTACTCTTCTCAAGTGTTCTTGGTGCTCAGGAATAGATTGGCTGTAGATGAGGATGTCATCAAAAAAGACCAGGGCAAATTTTCTGAGAAACGGCCTCAATACCTGATTCATTAGTGACTGAAACGTTGAAGGCGCATTGGTTAGTCCAAAGGGCATCACAAGGTATTCGTAATGGCCTTCATGCGTTCTGAATGCAGTTTTCTTCCTATCCTCTTCTTTCATTCTGATCTGGTGGTATCCAGATTTCAGATCTAGCTTGGAAAAAATTCTGGCATTCCCCAGTTCATCTAAGAGTTCTTCAATAATCGGTATTGGAAATTTATCCGGTATTGTTATTCTGTTTAAAGCTCTGTAATCCCCGCAGAATCGCCACCCCCCGTCCTTCTTCTTTGCCAATAATATGGGGCTGCTGTAGGGGCTGTTACTAGGTTGAATGATTCCCGAGCTCAACATCTCTTGTATAATCTTCTCTATTTCAGTCTTTTGGTATTGGGGATACCTGTAGGGTCTAATATTTGGTATACTAGCTCCCTCATGTATGTTAATGGAATGATCACAACTCCTGGATGGTGGTAATCCTTCCAAAGGTTGTGTTATTTCTGGAAATTCAGCTAAGACTTCTTCCCAGATGCAGTCCATATCCTTCTCCTTCTCCATCTGCATTAGAATCCCTTCACAATATAAAAGATATCCATCTCCATTATCTTGTATAATTTGTGTTAAAGTTTTCAATGAGACTTCCATTGAACTTAACTTAGGATCCCCTTGAACTGAATGATTGAGTCCTGAACTCTTCCAGTTGATCGTCTGCTTCTGAAAGTTTATTTCAACATCTCCCAAGCTGGTAAGCCACTCCATGCCCAAAACGAGGTCAGTTCCTCCCAGATTTAAAACGTAAAAATCTTGTTGTATCTCAATATCTGGTAAACATAGTACCACCTCTTCACATCTTCTATTATTAGATACCTTCTCTCCATTGCCAATCTGCACCTTATACCCTGTAATCGTATTGAAAGGTAGCTCCAGTTCCTCCACCAGTTTCTGGGAAATGAAATTATGCGTGGCTCCACTGTCAATCAATACTTCTACCTGTCTTTGTCCCAAGTTCCATTTCAGCACTCCCTTAATTTTGAAGGCCCTCATAGTAGGTATCCCTTCTCTACTCATAAGAGATAATTGCATAGATTTTGATTCCATCGCCACCTCTTCTTCTGGAATTTCAGGTTCCTCACCGTCTGTTTCTTCCTCAACCTCTGAGTCTTCTACTAACATCAATTTATAGTTCTTCAACTTGCAGGTATGCTCCTTATTCCACTTCTCCCCGCACTTAAAACACAGCCCCTTCCTGCTTCTCTCTTGGAATTCTTCTTGGGATAATTGAGGTGCTACCTTCCTGATTCCTGAAGACTGCATATCTGTGACTTTCTTCCCCATTCTATCAAACCAGGAATTGAAGTTCCTGTTCTCATTTGCCCCTTTTCCTTGAGTAGTGAATCCCGAGCTCCCATATCTGGCCTTAAAACCTTCCCCCCAATTCTGAGATTTGCTAGGCATCGGTCCCTTATCTTTAACCCCCATCTTTTCATCTTCCTGCTTCTTCAGATTTGTAGCTTCATTTTTTCTCTCAATCAGTACTGCTGTCTCCATAACTTCAGCTAAAGTTCTGGGTTTATATAGTTTCAGTTCAGCCTTCACTTCGTTCTTCAACCCTGTGATAAAAATTCCTCTCAACATTTCCCTGTCCACATTCCTCTGAGGTGCTATGGTCAGCTCAAATTCATCCCTATAATCACTTACAGTACCGGTTTGTTTCAAACTTAACATGGGCTCAAAAGGATTCTGCAGCAACTCCGGTTGAAACCTGCGTATCACAGCTTCTTTCAAAGTTTCCCAGTTCTTCTCCTCCGTTTGGTGTTCCCACCATTGAAGCCAGTTAAGAGCTCGTTCTTCCATGGCTAATATAGACACTTCCAGTTTATCTCCTTCAGCAATTTGATTCAACCTAAAGTACCTCTCCATACGTATCAACCAGGTATAAGCCCCGTTTCCATTAAATAGAGGTAGATCCACCTTACGTGCATACTGGATATTAAAACGAGGGTGATCACCACCATGCCTATGATCATGACGATAAGAGTGGGCCGAGTTACCTCTCGAATGGGATCTGATATGAGGTGATCGCGAGCGACGATGCTGAGGAGATGGTGATCGTCCTCTGGAAGGGACCCTCCTGCCCTGATACGCTGCCATAGATGCTGCGATACTGTTCTGTATCTGCTCGTTCATCGCGACCGTGATATTCTGGATCTGCTCGTTTGTTGCGGTCGATAGATTGGCGATGGTAGCTCGCATCTCCTGCTCAAAGGCCTCCATGCGATGTTCCATCTTGGATCTCGTCTTTACCATCCACCACCGATACGCAAAAATTCAAGAGACGACGCCTTCTATTTCCGATCCCCAGGAGCTAACGCTCTGATACCAATGATAGAACACTGGTGTTAAGCTAAGCAAACTATATCAAATCTGCAGAATGATGTAAGGACAGATCAAAGGGAATTTTATTGAAAGTGAGAACTCCAGATAGGTCGTACAAGCTCAGGGACTATTCGAGAAGCCCAATCTCCTGACATCCAACTATTCAGAGCAACAACCTGCCCTAATAGGCTAGCAGACTTCTATTTATAGTCAATAGTCCACGCAGGGACTTTATTAATAGCTAATAGATTCATTAACTAATTATTGACTACCCCCCTTATTCCTCCTTTGATAGACTCTATTGAAGTATTTAATAGGCTGACCACTTATAAGCCTATCATTTACTCAGTACTCACCCACCCCTTCCCTTTCTCTCTTCACGTATACCCCCATTCTTTTTTGACAACGGAGCATAATCATCGACATAGTTTCCAGGAAGAGAAGGTTTCGGACCCTCATTCAATGGTCGAGCACTGGTTGGCAGTTCTGGTTCCCTTCACTTCCTGGTAAGTCTTGCGCTGGATCTCATCATATGTTAGCCATTTCAGAATTCCTTGAGCATTTGCTCCTTGTATATTCAATCCATCCATATAAATTTCAATATGTCACACAATTCGATCCATACCATAAAAGTCTAAAATAGTAAACTTTTTATGCATTATTATAGCAACTTAATCATAAAGCACTTAACAGAATAAAAAATTGAATCCAATCAATTAGTTAGTCAAACACATAAACTTATAAACCCATACATCTTTCTCAAACAAAAAGGTCTCAATGGCTTATTCTACTGGTACAACAACTCAGTCGGACATGGGAAAACTTTTCCAGGTATGCCAAAGGCGAAAAAAGTAATTGACCTACACATCAATACTTACCCACTAGGCACCACATCCGCCGGAGAAGAAAAAGGGCGCGTTCGCAATGGGAGCAACTTTTGGATTTCTATTAATTTGATTTCTAGCTACAAATTGAAAGGGATAAAGAATTATTAGCCTTATGATGGAGGTGGACGGTTAAAAGATACACCGTTAATAAGAAATGTTAATGGATGGCTAAATGTAGCTCTAATAAGTAAATTATGTGTTAATTTGGTCCACTTAAAAGCTAAGTGTTCAATTTGAGATTCATACATAATCTTGGTGTCCTTTTTTAGCCTTATCCCTAATATAAAAGTAAGGTAGAAAGTCAAACAAAAGAAAAATAAAGCTTGTAGGATGAAATTGTAGTTGATCAAACCCCAATTATTCGTTCATTCCATGATATGGCGGTGGTTCAAGAGGGATACCATCAACATATTATCTTCTTCCTCCAAGACCAAATGATCGTATATCTGGTCTAAAATATCAAACTTCCCTTGCACCTTGTCAACCAATTTAGCTCTTTGCCGCGTCATCTGAAAATCTAGTCTTCCTCCTCTATGTCACGGACGAACTTACCACCTCAAAAACCTATACATAGTCTGAAACAAAACAGCGTACACAAGAGAACTTTTTTCAAAAAAACAACCTTAGAAAACGCTAGGGAGTTGTCCGCTTTTCTTTAGATCTCTGAACCCCATGTTATATGTTTATTAGTTTGCAGCACCATTCTTTTTGCTGTCATATTTAGAATTTTAAGTATGTGGTCGAAATTTCCAATTATCTAACTTTAAAATCCCCAATCAATCACATTATCGGGTTTGGGGGAAAAGTGCACAGACTTGAATTTAGGCTTTTTAGAGGGGAAATTTCTCGGAATATGACTAAAAATTATTAAGTTTCCCGAAATATGAATAACATTGTTTTTAGACATTCCTATGACTAAAAAAAGAAATTCTCGTCATATTAAAATGTTAAGGGATGATAATATCCTTATTAAAAAAGGCGCAGTTTGCTCTACTTTCGTCTAAAAATATTGCATTTTATGTAAAGGCGTTACTGCACGACATTTGCTGCACTTTATGCCAGCATGACTGCACGACATCACGAAAAAGTTTTTTTAAAGCATTACGAAATGTTATACATTTTTCGTTCTTTTTTCTCTTTTGGATTTGATAACTTTAGTTTTCACGTCTATTTAAATTTAATGCACTTTATGTCGGCGTTATTGCACTTCATGCCTCCGGAGTTATAGCACGATATTATAAAAATGCTAGGAATTCATAGGGCTTTTTCTTATTTTATAAGTGCACACTTTGGATATATTTACTTGGACTGAAATTTGCTGGTCAGGTCATGTCTGGTCTATTTAAGCCTGATTTGGTCTGGGCTGGAAAATGTCTGGTCTCTGTCTATTTTATAACAATGGAAGTCTGGTCTGGTTTGGTCCGTTTAAATCTGGCCTTGTTTGGTACATAAAACAATCCAAGTAAAAACATCCTTTATATGAATATTAATGCAGTATATCACGACATTTGTTGTCATAATCACTGCATTTATTGTCATATCATTGCACTTCTTATCATATTCTCTGCACTTCTTGTCATATTCACGACATCATATACAAATTACTCATTGTTCACTACTCACTGTTCTAGAATTCACTGCACACTGTCTTGAATCGTCTTCAACCTAGGGTTCAACTCCAATCTTGTGTGGTGAGCGCGCAGGCATGGGTACAACGACGGTTGCGTGTAGGCGCGCTGACATGGGGACGACCACGATGAGCAGACATATGGATAGTAGTGACGGGTAGACATTGAGACGGGGCGGCGGCGCATGGGGATGGCAGCGGGTGCGGGTAGGTGTGCAGGCATGGGGACGGTGGCGGCGATCACATATGGGGATGGCCACGACAAGAAGACATTGAGACGGCAGGGGCGAGCAGGCATAGAGACGACAACAACTGTGGGTAGGCGCGTGGGCATGGAAACGGCTGCGGCGACGCGACATGGGAACGACTGCAGTGAACAAACATGGAGACATGGGCATCACATGGGGACAGTTGTTGCAACAGGGGAGGCGGGTGCCGTGAGTGCCACGACGATGGAGGCGGCAGGTACCGCGAAGATTGGGGCGGCAAGTGTTGCAGGTGCCGTGGCTACGAGCTAATGACTAGGTGTTTTAGCAAATGGGTATGAAGTTACACTTTACAATATCAATCTAAGGGCATATTAGTCCATAAAAATTATTTATTTATTCATTTATTATTTAATTAAACGGAAATTGTCCTAAATAGGACCAATGAGTTCCTAAAAAGCACAAATAGGACTAGTACTTTTCAAATTCTCTAAATAGGACTAAACATTGATTTTCTACCCTAAACCCCTAAGGGTATTAATCCATAATGAAATGCTTTGATTCATAGTAAAATCATACAAAATCGTAAAAAATATATTAAAATCATAAAAAAATTATAAAAATTAATAAAATATTTATAAATAAAAATTAAAAAATATTTTAAAAAAAAAAATAACCCCCTTCATCCCAAAATGGTTGGCCAATGTTGACTTGCACGTGGATTAGTAAAGTAAAAACTGTGTGGTTGAAATTTGCGCAGAGGAAAGAGAATTAACTTTAGTCACATATTCCTTACTTTAAATGGAAATAACAAACCTTTTTGGGACGACCAAAAAAGGAAATTTGGCCAACCATTTTGGGACGGAGGGAGTAAAAAATAGTAAAAACCCATAAAAAATTAAAAAAATTATGGATACCTTTCCCACCGCCTCCCAGCACCACCACCTCTGATTGGTGAAGTTTCTTCCACTTTTGGTTAAAAAAAATGCCATCTTTTTCTGAAAAAATGCCAGAAAGATGACATAATTACTCTTCAATATGCCAACATTTTCATTGAATATGCCATCATTATGGCATTATTTAAAATGTTGGCAGATTTTTCTCCGGTGATGGAGCTGTGGTGCTGGGGGGGTGGCAGAGGTGGCAGTGTTTTTTTTTTTATTTTAATTTTACGTTTTTTTTTAATTTTTATTTTTTTTTAAAAAAATATATTTTTTGAATAGTTTATTAATTTTGTATTATTTTTTTTTATGATTTTTATTATTTTTTTACGATTTTTATTATTTTTTATGATTTTATCATTAATTAAAACATTTCAAAAGCTACAAGAGTAAATTTGTCCAAATACATATAAATAGTCATATTAAGGTAATTTAAAAAATATAGTCCTATTTGAGCAATTTTGCCACTTTTTAGTTCTATTTAGAGAATTGACTATTAAATAAACATTACATATTTAAATATTATTTTAGGAAAAAAATTAATGAGGTTATAGATTGAGAAAATAAATGAGTTTTAGTCATACCAAAAGTAATTTTCTACTCGGTACTTTTTAAAACTACTATATAGTTCTTGTTTGTTGGACTAATGTAACATCTTTAGAAAAAGGAAAATCACCTATCTTTGCCTTCCTTTTCAAACACTAGGGTGCACATTCGTCACTCCCAGTCTATGTAGAATACAAGAAATGAGAAAGCATTTACCGCTTAATTACTATACTGTTACGATACAATTACCTCAAATAACTATCAAATTAAAACTGGGGTTCAAGAAAGCTATTATCAAACTCTCACCCCAAAACAAGTACACAACTACTTCGTATAACATACTTATGGGCAGTGGACCTAACTCAACTGAAAAGTAGGGGATGCACAAGGGGTGCAACGTGAAATCGAATCATGACAACTATGATGAGAGATTATATATAATGTAAAATTCAATTTACAAATTTGATTTTGCACCCCATGTTTTGATTGATATTTCATTTTGCACCCCATTTTTAAAACCATTAGTGTATGTGCCCGATGGAGTATATTCTCATATACCCAGAGGGTATCAACACTTATGGATAAAAGATCTCCAAGAACCACTTAATCATTTTCTATCAAGACCGAGCCCGACCTCGGCCGAGATCGATCCCAAAGTCAGTTCTTAGATCATCGAGATAAGTCCAAGACTGCAACCAAGGATGGGATCGACCCTTGCCAAGGTTGGCATCAAACGAAACACTGTAGTCAAGTTTAAGGTCAATTGACACCTTATGAAGTCAAAGAACCAACAAGGGCATCATTGCCTCACATTGCGAATCAAGATCACCCTCCTTTCAACTAAACATGATGCACCCGAGCTCGACCTCGTATGAAGATTGTGGACTTGGATATTTCAGCACATATGTCCTGCATGCAACTCGATCTGATTACGTCACCCACAGAACAACTATCCAAGGCTTATGTCATCCAGGTGATTTCACATAGAGGATTTCAGACCGTACACACGTGGGTTCTCTACACATTCCACTACATAAAGGATAGAATTTGTTATCAACAGTACCAATTAGCTAGCTCTGATTATTCTATCACCAATTAGACTTTACACATGTCATTGTATTAGTTGATTAATTATTTTTACTTGTTGCCCAAATATTTCATTTTACAGTATAAATATCACCTTCCAACTTGTGGGAAGGGATCACCATTCCTATACACTCGAGCTTACTGCTATGCTGCTAATTTTTCCACTCAATCTATACTTGACACTTTTCAGTTCTCTCTTTTTCTTCCAGTTTCTGCTACCCCAGGGTAGGTGAAGCCATCAACACCGCATCAACCCAAAAAATGTGAAGGAGTGACGTGCAAAGTCAAATGAATTTATAGTGATTTGGAGTGCATACATTGATGGTTTTTATAATAGGGTGCAAATTCAAATATCACCCAAATCATGAGGTGTAAAGTCAAATTATCTCTTTTACATTCTCACATTTAATTATGAGATAATTCCCTAAATAGGAGTAAAAACGTTTTGAAATTCCAAAATAGGAGTATCATGTTTTTTTATTCCCCGAATAGGAGTAAATTTTTGCCAAGTTTGGTTTTACAAGGCTTTAAAGATGGCAGTTTCTTCCAAACTTGGCAGATTACTCCTATTCAAGGAATAAAAAACATGATACTCCTATTTTGGAATTTCAAAACATTTTTACTTCTATTTAGGACAATTTGTGTTTAATTATCCGGCCAGTGTACGAGACACTCTCAGCTCATAAGTCATAACCCAACAATTTCTATTCGAAACCCATCATTCATGACAATAACACAACACTAACTCCATTGTCTCCATATGCGACTTCCTTGCTCCCCTCCATACACTTTTGTTGTCATTGTTTTGTTTTATTACTCTACCAAGCCTCCATCCTTCAATAATTGCACGGTTTGTATTTTCCAGTCAAAATTTAGTAATTTTAGATATTCTTTATATAAAGTGTAGCATTTCGTAATATGGAAATATCTTGATCAAATTGTATGACTTTTGAGATTTACGTATTATTGTGATACTTTTTATTAGTATATAAAAGAAAACAGCAATGCTCAAATATGAGAACTAAAGAGAAATCAGATAGGGTGAAGTTTATTTAGGGGGAGTTATGTAGAGACTATATTAAAATTTAAAATCGTATTGTAATAAAAAAGAAATAATTACATATTTATAACAAAAATAAAGATTGTTTAGAAAAATGTGACTAGTGACTAGAGTAATTATGAAATTGTAGTAACTTATATTCAAATTTTAAACTTAAATTATCATGACAGTAGATTGTAGTTACTATTAGACATGTTTGTGTAAATAAGTTTTATTTTAATACTCCGTAATACTTTTAAAAAATCCTCATAAAAGTTTAATTTTTTATGTTATAAATCTACTCAACTTGAATTGATTCTACATTATTAAACAAGAGCCCAATTCAAAGGATGATACCCTATCTCTAAGGGCTTCTAGCACCGGCAGGACAATTAACTAGAAGAATGTAAATTGGATTTCAATCAAATACTGATAGAAGGAGCCAACTCTAAATCCTAAATCTAAGTGAAAACATGATTTAGAATATTTTCACTTGGATTGATTACTGTCAAAGGAGTCAAATCACACTAATCTTAAATATATAAGATCAAATTAAATCAAACCAGACATAGATTGTAAATAAACCAATGTTGTACTAGATCAATTCACATTAGACGAAACATACTATATAACATATTGAAGTTAATATATTAGTTTAGACCATATCAAATCGTAAAAGTACACCAAGTAACATCCTTTAATGAGGGCATAAACAATAGTGAACTATGTATATCCAAATGTTTCATCATTCTCATTATTTGACACGATTCTTACATCTAGTTTTATTTAGATTTAAATAGTCTTCATTCCCGCAGCATCAATAACCCAAACATCAATTCTATTTTATACGAATACACTGTATTCACTCCATTTATACTATTTTCCTTGAAATTTCACACTGTTGATAATATCCACTCTCCATACTTTTTACATACCAGGTTCATAAAGCATTACTTAAATTATTATAAATAATATTTTTTGTATGTTGGTTAAAATTTTGAATAATTATAAATGAAAAAATGAATGTTTCGATAGAGCAAATGAAATTTGGTTAAATTAGTTTTTTGGATATTTCGGTGAAAAAATAGAATAAAGAAAATAAAATGTATCAGTGTAACTTTGGAATTCATTTGGACCGTTGGATCATGGCAATGATAACTAAATCGGTTCATTTTTGGTCTTTTTTGCATGACAATGATATTTTGTTGTTATATTACTAGTTACTTGTGTTTGTTATCACACAACTTTTTATTACAAAAGAAATATGTATTCATCTAAACTATAACTTAGGCAACATACATACTATTTCCAAACAACTATCAAAAAATGTGAAACTTTAGAGCATATATACGCTTTATCTAAAAAGAAAATAGAATAATTATTTTTTAAAAAAATATTTACTACAAATAAAAACAACATTTAGTAAAAAGTATAACAAATAAAAACTTAAAGTTTAGGCTACACTATATATTTTCTATATAATTTATGCGTTTAATTCTTTTAAAAGGTATTTAAAAAGATATACACATTCTAATTCATTGCCTGGACGTGCACTTGTTTCTTCTCTTTTTTTAATACGGAGTAATGTTTTTGTATTATATTGCCATTAATTAATGCTTGATGTAACTTGGATTTTTTTTGTTTTCCATTTACTATGTTTTTAATCAACAAAATTATTTTGGCAAAGACCGAATAAATCATGGTTTAAAATTTGGAAAGATAAAATTGAACTGAACCAAACCAAATTATTTTCTTTGGTTCGCTATTTAGTTTTAGATTAAAACTGAACCGTTTGAATTGAACTCAACTTTACTCTCCTAATTAAACCCCAAAGCCAAACACGATTTAAAAAGGAAATAGTTGTTCTGTTTCAATTCTTGCATGATACTCCGTATAATAGTTTTGATTGAGTGGATCGGATCTGGTACAGTAAAAGGAAAAGAAAGGTTCAAAAGCAAGTCAAGTGTGATATATTGAGCATTGTGTGCGCGGGCATATATATGGAGCTGTTACTTACTCACGAAGAATGGAGAAAAGGTGTTGTGTATTGACATATTTCTAGATTGATGATTGATAGTTAGGTGCCACTCATTGCAGAAAGGAGCAATGCCTTTGGCTTTGGGGAGCTTCCAAAATCATCAGACTTATATACAAATATATAGTGTAATTTTCATTAAAGGGTGTTCTACTCTTCTTAGGGGTGGAGTATCCGGGAATATAAAATGACAGGAATTGACATGAACATTTTTTTGTAATAATTAATGGCTTTAATTTCATGCTTTTGACCAGATTTGAATCCCACCTTCCGCCCCTAATTGATTTGCAGCTTTTAAGATTTGAATACTATATAAATAAGTGAATAAAATCCAACCGACAAAAAAATAGAATTTACAAATTATTTTGGAACGGAGGAAGTATATAGCGAGCTCCTTAGTCCTTACATTGCATCCTTCAATTATGGACTTGACCTATAATTTGTCAAAATCAAAATAAGTTCTACCATCGAAGAAGTGCTTGCCGAGGGTGTGTGGAGTAACTACATACCTCGGGTCCGATCCTACGGGGCCAAGTGTTACAATTCTGGTGTGAGACAAATATATAGTTTAACATGAAATATGAATGAATATACTTGTGTTTTGAAGTTGACAGATTTATAAAACCAGTTTAAATAAACCATACCCATACCAACCAAACATTTGCAACCCCAACAAAAAATAAAATGATCAACAATGAATAACAGACTAGATTAAATTTAAATATCAGACTTGTTTCTTGTACACATTCAATACACACTTCTGTGAACATGTTATTTTTTGTCTATAAATAGTCTGTTAAAAGCCAAAATATATAGTGTCAATCAGTCTGTGAACAAGCTATTTATAGACAAAAATTAGTCTGTTCACACACTATATATAAATACGGAGTAGTTTTTTTCTTAAAATATTTTTAAAGAAAATATGCATTATACTGATGATATAAAATTGATCGATTTTTCTTTGGGTTGATTTTCTTTTAATTTCTTCAATTTCTTGTAGATATTTTCATGGGCTAAAATATTCTGCTTAACATGATATTGGCAATGAAATGCGACTATGCGACCAAAATTCCGTACCTTCCATGACAAAGGGTATGTTTGGCAAATGGCTATTAGCTCTTGTTGTTAGCTGGTTGTGTCAGCTGTTTCCTAACAGCTGGTTGTGTTAACTGTTTTGACCGGCTGGTTATGTTAGCTGATTATACATAACTGTTTGGTAAAATTGGTTGTTTCGAAATGGCTAATAGAGTGTAAATTGAACCAGCCGAATGAATAAGCTGCCCCCTTAGCTTCTTCAACAATCCATTTTTTCAGCTTTTCAAACTCAACAAGCTAATTTTAAAAGCCATTTACCAAACATTATTATTAGCTTCTTTGACCAATCAAACAGCTGAAATGGGTCAAACAAACTAAAAACCGGTTGATAAACCATTTGCCAAACATACCCAAAATGGTAAACGACCCTTTCAAGCTCAGTGCTTATATTGTTTTTTGGCAGTATGCAATTGTCAGTATACATAATTGCATTAGAAAAATTGAGTGCACAATTAATTCAAGTTGTAAGACACCTATCATCAGTAGCTTTTAACTTTGTTTAATGGCTCTTCCATATAAGAAAGTTGCAATGATCATCATCACAATCATTTACTTTTTCTTTTCTTTAGTTTATTTGCTTTGCATAATTGCATGTCTGGCATTATTGCAAGACGCAAAAGTGGAAGAAGTGCTTGCCGTTTTTGGGAAGAAGTGTAGAACTGTACAAGTCTTTGAGGCAATATAATCAGGCATATATCACCATTTAATCATCCGCATTTTTTCTTAGCTTAGCTTATCCTATAAGATCACAAATATCCAATACTGAAATGCGAATTGATGCCACAGAAAAAGGTGTTCCAATTAGGGTGGGCAAACGGGTCCTGGAACCGCGGTCCGGTTCGGGTAATGGCGGTTCGGGTCCAAAACGGGTCGGTTCCATTTTTTGTTGCCATAAAACGGTCCGGGTAGGTCCGGGTAATTTTTTTTAAGGACCCGGGCCGGTTCCAAAATAAAAAAATACAGGGTACGCGGCCCGACCCGTTATATATATTGTAGATTAATTTATTAATAGTTTTGTGATAATCGGTTTTGAAATAGTTTTGTTTTCCTTTGTTAGAAGTAGGATTTTAAATTGAGTTGCAGTAACATCATTTTGCGTTCAAATTATTGATTAAAATTTACCTAAATTTCTTATTATTTTTATTGTTATTGAATTATTCCTTTCTATGGAATTTAATTATTTGTTAAAAATGATTTTGTAATATTTGTTTTTATAATATTGTTCTTGAAATATATAAACTTTGATTACCACCCCATGTATGTGTCAACTTTGGCTAATACTGAAAATTTGTTCTTAAAATATATAAATTGTGATTACCACCCTCATGTATGTGTCACCTTAATATGTTAATATGTGATGTTAGATAACATTTTTTAATTCAAATGTTATAAAATATGTATTTTAGCTATGTTGCTGATTTTTGGAACTTTAATTGTTTGGAACTTATATACATGAAATTATGGAGTATTGGACTTGTCACTTGTGTTACATGTGCACCACTATGTTGTTATTTTAAAACTTGCTAATGTACTATATTATTAATTATTGATTTTTGGAACTTTTTGAGTTTTTACTAATTTTAAGACATGGGAATAGAAACCGTAAAACTCGGACCGGACCGACCCGTTTCAAACGGGTCGGGTAAGGTCCGGTTCCTATTTTGAAAATTGCAATACCCGGACCGGACCGGACCGCACAATGGAACCGGCAGTTCCATTTTATTTTGCATTACCCGCCCCGACCCGGCCCGTGCCCAGCCCTAGTTCCAATCTTAATATAGAGCTGTCTGAGCCTATTTGGTTCTGTTTTAGGTTTATCAGCTTTATTAGTTGATTTTTCTCATAAAATACATAATTTTTCATTTCACACGCTGAATTTTATAATAATAGTACTTCATAGTAAAAATAAAACTGAAGTTACTTTACTAGCTTATAATTCGCTAAAGTTACTGTAGATGATCATTTTAGATGTTACCAACCAGACTCATAAAATTTCATGAAGTTTTACGCGTTCTCTAAGTAGAGGGTGTCCACATTTAAGAATTGAAATAATTACATATTTATGACTAAAATAAAAATAATTTACAAAAATGTACAGTGATCTCTTAAGTATAGTTACTATACTATAAATATAACTTATATTTATATTTACCTTTTACACTTAAATAATCGGCCATGACACTATACTATATTCTATATAGGATCTATTAATCATGTATGTTTGTGTACATAAGTTCTAATTCGATAATATTTATTTAGAAAACCTCGTAGAATATAAATTTGTGCATCTTGATCTCCTCGATTATCTATGGATTTTAATTATATCAATAAATTAAAATTGGTCATTGCAAAATGTTGGAGGTATTGGTCCTACCAAGGCCTCCCTTCCACTTTATTATTTAGGCCTGCACCCCATGTTTACTCCCACTTTGATTCCCTGAGTTGAAATCACTCATTGGTGTCCTGTTGACTTACCTGGAATCAGCCCCATTGCTTGCTGTCCTCTGCACCCTTTGTTTGTCTTGGCTTACCCGTGAGTGTCCTATACACACCCATGAGTGTCCTGTTAATTATGCCCGTGACTTCTCTATAGGCAGGCAGCCTATTATAAAGTCAACACTTCCTTCCCTTTGTGAGATAAGCCTGCGAGAGAACATCCCAGTGCAGTGTCTTCCTTCTTCCTTTCCCTTTGTGTGAGAGTTCCTTAGTGGAGTGAAGAAGAGTGAGTAAACATGGGAGATGGAGTGGCCTAAGCCCTAGAGTGGTGTGTGTGAGTTTAGTTTAGAAGGTTGGAGACCTGAGCCGGAGACGGAACAAACGATCCTTACAGTGGTATCAGAGCCAGAACCACCGTCTGCCGCCGCCCTCCGCCGCCGTCCGCCGCCGCTTGTCGATTTCAGGTCCTGGAGGTCACCGGTCGTTCGTTGAAGCTTCGCTTGGTGCCGTTGCTTCCCGTTTGCCTCAAATCTGTTCAGCCGTCACCTGGAAGTCCGCCGCCGCAGGGAGTTGCTCGCCGGGAGTTGAAGTTCCGCCATAGCCGAAGATAGGTCTGCTCGCACCGCATCCCGTTTCAACTCGCCGGAAACCACCGTCGTCCTTCCAGTTCGCCTGGAAGCTGACGCCGGAATTCGCAGCTGGAGCTTCGCCGACCGTGGACCCGTTGCTCGACCGTCAAAGCTGCCTGCGAAATTGCTGTGGCAGATGTGCTGTTCGCAGAAAGCAGAAGATGACGCGCCACATCGTCGCTGGAACGAGTACTGTAGCTGCACGCGATTGATATTTTTTTAGCTCTTGGACCTGGTGGACTGCTGCTGAATTTTGTGTTGCTGGGCTTCTGTTTTTTGGGCTGCTGATTTTCTGGACCGTGGCTGACTTTGTGAAGGACAAAGTTGGAGCTGGGTGTATTGCTGTTGCTGACCAGCTGGACTTGGACCGGGCTGGAGCAACTGGTCAACCAATCAACCGCCGGTCAACGGTGGTCAACGCCGGTCAACGGCAGTCAACCCCTCCAGAAAAATCCCAATTTTTTTAAAATTGGGTAGGTAAGGTCGAAACGCTCTCCTAGGGTTTCGCGAAGGTAAGTTTTCTGTAAACTTCCCATTTGTTACATTCCGGTTTTAATTTAATTTAATTTTATTCCCCCTCCCCGCGGGCCGCCGGTTGATTTAATCCCGGCCGCCAACCCCCCAGGTACGTACTAAACTTTCTCCTTTGTGGTAGACTGTTTTAGTTAATTAATTAAATTGCTTTGTGTTATTTAAATTAATTGTTATGCATAGGGGTGGTTTATTGGGTGGTAGGGGTAGAATTAATTAATTTATTTTCTGCCCGGAATTGTTTGATTGCCAAAATGTCCATTTTTTGCTATGTGTTGCATGCTGCCCGGGGTTATTAAAGTGAATACTTTATAACCCGGGTTGGATTATTTTCTGTCATTTCTATCTGTTTAGCTTTGTGTTCCTTTGTGGTTGATACCATGGCTGCAAATCAGTATGGTATGCTTCCATTTAATGGAAAAACAGATTTTGATATTTGGAAACAGAAAATTAAGTGTGTTTTAATACAGCAAAAAGTTTTCAGAGCTGTCACTGGTATTTTCCTAGAATCAGAAGATAAGGCTAAGCAAATTGAAATGAACGAAACTGCTTGTTCTACTATTTACTTGAATCTGTCTGATTCTGTGCTTAGGAAAGTAGGTATTCTTGAGTCTGC